GGGGGCCTCCGCCAGAAATTTTTAAACATCACTGCCTTTTTATGCATTTTCAGAGGATATGAGGCGAACTTTTTGCTAGCTTCAAGTCTTGTCATAAGCAATGAAACAGACATTCCAGTACAAGGCAAAATCCACAAAGGCCCACAAAAACCATGAACTTGCCTTGAAATTAACTGGCCATCAGAGCGACAATAAAATACTAGTACCGGTGAAATCAAACTGCGATATGGGATGAACACACTTTTATACAAAAAAATTGAAATCTTACATGTATTAATTTATATGCTTTCGTTTCATACATTACTATAAAACTTGAACTTTGAATGGAAGTTTCAATGACTGAGTATAGTTATCGTTACTTAAAACATACTCATTTACTCTTGTCACAGGGGCGTGTACAAGGATTTGTATGCGGAGCGCGCGAGGAGGGTCAACCGTCAACCGAAAGTTGGGACACGCAAGGGTTGAAATTACACCGCCTCGAAATTGCCTTTTTCGGCCGAGCATGGTGAGGGTCCGGACGCAGAAAAAAGGCCGTGGGCTCAGAAAAGAAGGGCCGTGGGCGCAGAACAAGCTCACTAAAAATTGTAAGGGCGCGGCGGTGCGCACCGCCCTCGCACCCCCCTAAGAATGCTAATCGCATTTGACGTTGTTTACTCTGACACACGAACTATATCGCGATGCGACCCCCCACCGCTTCAGTTGCCCCTAACAAAATCTCAAAGTGCCCTTTCCCACCTGCACCCCCCCTAGACAAAATCCTGCATGCGCCCCTGGGTATGTTAGTCCCAAGTCAATTTATACATGATTCGGTACGTCATACCGATTCGGATTCGAATTTCGGATTCGGAAGAAAGAAGAGAGTGGCAGTTAATGTAAGCGGCAGTAATGAAAGTCGAAAACTCTCAGCTCTTTCATTCTATTCTTCCTAAAATTCTCGACTGCTCGCTGGCAGCTATGGATCCGTGCGCCGCCTACGCACTCGGCGCACGGATCCATAGCTGCCAGCGCTGCATACTGTCGTACGACATTCCCGCGGTCGCGTGCGCCTTCCCGCGGAACTGCGCGCAACATCTGCGCTCAGCGCTTCGGATCAACAGCTTTTGGCAACGCTTCTCTAGTATCCCGTCTCATCTGGATTCGGTTGCCAGTGAGTTTATCAGAAGAATAGCCGGCTACAGTACACGTCAGTTGAGCGCTGTCGCTCTGTGCCCGGCTGCCGGGCATATAGCCACAGCGAATAAAATATCGCTCATTTATGTACTCCTGGTCCTAGACGTGATGCGGCCATGATGCCGAGGTGCGCCGAGGATTGACACTTTGTGTCTTCTAATCACAGTCTACGCCGCACCTCTCTATTATAATTTCTAGGGATAATACCATTAAAGCACCAAATTGCCGATCTCAGGAACTATCGCATTCTGCTAGGCTATAACGGTTTCCTACGATAGAGTTTGGCTCAAATACGAAAATAACACGTTGTTTAGCGCACTGCGCTACATCCTTCTGTTGCATTTTCGCATCTCCGTAATCAGAATAAGCCCCGCCTTCTTCGTTGATCGACATGAAAGGGGCGTCACCGACGTGACCAGTTCCTGTACCTACTGTCTTTTCCCAGCCTGTTTACTTTTCGTAAATAATGAAATGCCAGGCCGATGCATTTCGCATCGAATAGGAAAGTTTTCTGCATTTTCACTCGCTGTCGGAAGCATTGAACAATTCAGTAAAACACAGCACACTGCACGACAGAGGTTGGAATGTTCGGAGCCAATATTTAAATGCCACATCGCCATCTCTTGGATGTTTTATAAGTAAATATGGGGATTTTCAATAAAATAATAGGTTTTTCATGTATTTACCACGATTTACGTATAGAAACTATATGTTATTTTCACTGATTTCTCCGTATCTTTCCTTGGAGTTTTCATCGTCTTTCAATGCCTTTCGGTAGATTTTTCTGCGTTTTCGGCGTGATTATTATTTTGCGCAGCCACTCATTTTGGAAATCCTTTTAACATTTTTACTTCTTCCTTAGTTAAGTTAGTACATGTTTCACTGTTATTTAGGAAGGAAGGTAAAACTGTGAATTTGTATAATTTCACTCTTGCTTCTATAGTATGATTTCCATAACTTTGCTCTTCTGCCCATGATAATATTTCCCTAATCATGAACCTACATTTTTCAGTTCGGACTCTTATCATATCGTTATAACCTCCTATATCATTAATTAAATCCCCTAGGTATGAATATTTGGTGCATTTTTTGATTACTTGGTTGCCTATTAATATCTCCTTCTCTATCCTTTCTTTGTTTGTGAATTGTATTTAACCATTGTATTTGTTTTAGATTAAATTCAAATCTTTTTCATTCAGCTAATCTTGAGCATGACTGAGCGATTTTTGTTACTGTTTTATAATCTCCAATTCCTAAAATATCGTCCATATATAATCATTGTCATCCTCTAAAACTACAGATTATCCGCTGACCGCTGTGGAGACTGTGCGCCGGGCCTCGAATTTGGTGCACGTCTTCACTGCGGACAGCGTTTCATACTTGAACATCCCCGCGGTTGCGTGCGCATATCCCGCAGAACTGCGTGTCTCATCCGCGCGCAGCGCTTAGGATCAACAGCAAAGCTGTGCCCCGCAATCTTGTATCATGTCTCTCTGGATATTGTGCAGCATTGCATCGTACCGATAATGTCATTGCTGCGGTTTGTGTGTTACAGCAATTTATGTCCCGGAAGGTCACATACTCAGATTGGAGGAAAATAACAACTTCGAGATTCGTTCAGACGACATCTGGGTCATCACATACCCTAAATGTGGTAAGTTTTGTTGACCAGGACTCACTGTCATGTGTTCACAAGATTAGTACAGAACAAGATGAATGGCAGGACGCTGTCACCCAAGTGAAATATTGAGATACAATATAGAGTACACCTACTTCTCGTCGGGCCACTTCTATTTAAGCACGTAAGGTCAACCGAGTAGCATTGCCTTGAAGCGAAAACACGTCGAACGACCCGCACCTCATTTCCCTATTATAGGCCTACATTAGTATGGGACCAAGTGAGTGGCGAAGCGCTGCCCCATGTGAAATATTGAGATTGGAATTTGCACCGCACATCTAATTGTGGTCGTGGCCTCTCTGCTCCCAGTCATAAATCCCTATGCTGACGTTGTCAAATACGTCACTATGTCTAGGTACCACGTGGACGCAGGAAATCGTCTGGCTCGTATGCAACAACGCCGACACGGAAACGGCCAACACCGTAGAACTGGATACACGCTTCCCGTTCTTTGAGTATCCGTTCACTAATCAGAAGCGTGTGATCAGAAAGATGCCCTCGCCACGTCTAATTAAGACTCACCTCGCACTACCTGTACTGCCTCACCAGATAAGGGAAAAGAAGCCAAAGGTAAGCCAAGAGTCACTTTACTACGTTCTTCTAGAGTAACACTCCCGTGTACTCGCTATGATTTTTCTCACTTAGCAGCAACATTGCCTCTATTACAGATAGCCTTTATAGGGAAGAAATATTTAGTCTGTGACCATCCGAATTCTTAGATCAGCTCCGAATTTTAATTATCGCGTTAATCACGCGTGCCTCCCTGCAGATCATATACACGATGAGAAATCCGAAGGACACATGCGTTTCAATGTACCACTTCGTAAAGCTGCTAACGCCCATCAACTACAAAGGCAATTTCGAGGAGTTTACAAAGGAGTTCTTCATGGGTGTCACTGGTAAGGGTATCCCATCTTCATTAACCACACTCAATCCTCTAGCTGAAGCAGTACGTTACATACAACTTCGTGAGCATAGTCGTGCAGTTTTTATTGTGCACGTGGCTTAACCTTACTAAATATATGTAACCATTGTCATCATTTACAGTTGGTCACGGGTCGTTTTGGGACCATCACCGTGACTACTGGAGGCTAAAAAATGAAATGAATATTCTAATACTAAAATATGAAGACTTGATCACGGTAAATCTGATTTAATTGCTTAGTTTCCTACAAAGTAATACGCAGCGGGATGTCACCCATCACAATAGTAATATCACCCATGGGATGTTGTTTATTCATCTGTTTTTATAACAGCAAAGAGTAGAGTACAAAATGTAAAATTGTAAAATTCATTACAAGGTTTGCACGGTATATAGTACTTAATTTAGTCTCTATGCTAAGACGTACTATATATTTGTCACCTGACACCGAACCCTTATTACGAAATTCACATAAATTATGTTAATTGGTGATATTATGAACCTAGGATCTGGCCAAGGAGGTGAAGAGGATAGCGGCATTCCTGGAAAAGGAGCTAACTGAGGAGCAGGTGCAAACCATCGTCGAACACTGCACGTTCAAGACGATGAAGGACAATTCTGCAAGCAACCAATCTCATATTCAGAACATGGGACTCATGAGAGCTGGGATGGGCAATTTCATGCGCAAAGGTGAGCAAACGCGCAGTCATTCGTTGTGTGTAACCGTGTTCATTTCATAGTAAAGCAAGTATCAAGCAGCAGCATTGTATCACCAGCAATATCGGTACACACCGGGAGCATTCAGATGTACATCGACGCTATGCGCCGCTAGTTATGAGTCTGTCACGACAAAACTTACAATCGTAAATTCTTCTCCATTTCCACAGGAAAAATTGGTGACTGGAAGAATTACTTCACTCCCGAGCTGAACGACATGGTGGACCAACTGAATAAGAAATACCTGGAGCCTGAAGGACTCACCTTCGACTATGAATAAATACTACGTCTAACACAAGCACAGATTATTAAATGATATATTATTAGCTTGTCGCAATAAGCTGCATGCACTGACCTTTACGTATAATGCCGACTTTACTGAGTTATGTTAAAAAATAAATGCAACATATTTTCATGTCTTTATGATGCGTCGGAATTGCCTGAAGTTGCTTTATTTATAAAATCGCAGCATATAAAAATTATTATTATTATTATTAAATTATAATGTAGCATTATTTAAACGAACATAAGTGAAGTGATAACGTAATGCTGAGCGAGGCTAACATGTAAACTGTTACATATCAGCGACAATGTGCTCCACATTAAATTGTTGCCTGATTGCGCGGGAATTCCTGGTTATCGATATTGAATTATGCATTTCATAAATATTTTAATAGCTAGACCAAACTTTGTTCTTACCAAACTAGCGGGACTGATCAGAGATTTGAATTACACGCGTGTAACCTACACTGGTTTTCAGCGGAAGCTAGGTACGCATGCGCACCGATATCATCCTACCTGATCCTATCCACATAATTATGGCATCATATGACTTCAACATTACATACATGCTCATAGCCTCATAGAGAAATCGGCTATATGCATACACAGTGAAGCTGAATAGTAACAAAATTAAGTAAATCTTGTATTCTTGTAAGTACTGCTAAAAGTGTATTGGAACACTATAATTAGGGCTAGTTTACAAAATAAATAGGAGATAAACTTGCATATCAGTCGTAACAGTCGAGTTCGTTTGTCAAATCCATTAATATGTGTGCGTGTGTGCGTGCGTGCGCGTGTGTATGTGCATGCCTGCGTGTGCGTGCGTGCGTGCATGTACACGTGTGTGTGCGTGTTTGTGCGTATACAAGTTAGAAAGATGAAAGATTCGAGACATGTAGGACGGCCTGTGTTTCGTGTCTCGGCCGTCGGCGCACGTCGGCTGACGACTATGGGTTCGGTAAGTACACAGTGACTCACGTATTCACATGGCAACTTTTTTTTATCCGGTGGCCATGCTATTGCTAGTACGCGAGGGAACTATGAAGTATGGACCATGACCGAGTTTCGTCACTGCTTGCACCGAACCGCTTCCCGTTTGTGCTGTTCAGGTACCTCCATCATGCCGTCGTTTCCCAAAATGTCTACCGTCGACACGAAACTTGTTTTAGTCGGAGTAGCGGCAACGGCTGCCGTTGGCATAACAACGTACGCGTTATACTTATGGAGATGGAAGAAAAAGAAACTGACAGGCCTCAAGACAGTAAAATTTGGAGGGTTTAACTTGTACGAAGCTCCTGGCACGTGTAAGTAGGTTCGCACAATGCTGCAGTAACTTTTTACACGAATAAGACCGGTTATGCAGCGTGGATTTTGTGACAGAATTAAGGGAATATTACGGCATACTGTAAGGGGAAATAGGAGTGTAGTTATAAGAGAGGTTTGCTGTCGTCGCAATCGCTTAATTGCCTCTTCGCTATCTATATGTGCGTGGTTGATATTACCAGGAATACATGAATAAAATATCGCTCATTTATGTACTCCTGGTCCTAGATATTGTGCAGCATTGCATCGTACCGATAATGTCATTGCTGTGGTTTGTGTGTTACAGCAATTTATGTTCCGGAAGATCACATACTCAGATTGGAGGAAAATAACAACTTTGAGATTCGTTCAGACGACATTACTATCTGGGTCCAATTACTGACCCTAAGTGTGTAGGTTTTGTTGGACGTCAGCGACTCTTGTCCATGTGTTCAAAAGATTAGTAACAGACAAGATGAAATGCAGACGCTGTCACCCAAGTGAAATATTGAGATACATATAGCAGTACACCACCTTTCTGGTCGGGCACTTCTGATTTAAGCACGCTCACAGGTCCGACCCGAGTACGCCATTCCTGAAGCGAGAAACACGCCGAACGACGCCTGCACCTCACTTTTTTTATTATTAGGCTACATAAAGTTATGGGGGCCATGTGCAAGTGGCGAAGCGCTGCCTCCATGTGAAATATTGAATTTGGAGATTGGCACCGCACATCTTAATTGGTGCGTCGTGGCCCTCTCTGTTCCCAGTCAAAATCCCTATGCTGGACGTTGTTAATAATTACGTCACTATCGTCCAGGTACCGACGTGGACGCAGGAAATCGTTCTGGCTCGTCATGCAACAACCGCCGACACGAAATGGCAATCGCCGTAGACACTGGATTACACCTTCCCCGTCTTTGAATACCCGTACATTAATCGAGGCCTACGATCAGAAAGATGCCCTCGCCATCTGTCTAATTAAATACTGCACCTCGCACTACCTGTACTGCCTCACCAAGTATAGTGGGAAAAGAAGCAATAGGTAAGGCCAATGAGTCAGCTGTATGCTACGTTGCGTTCTAGATATAGCACTCCCGTTGCTACTCGCTATGATTTGTCCTCACTTAACAGCAACATTGCCTCTATTACTGATAGCTCTTAGGGAATGAAATCATTTAGTTCTGTGATTCGGTCATCCGTAATTCTTAGATTCAGCTCGAATTTTAATTATCCGCTTTAATTCGGCGTGTCCTCTACTAACCAGATTCTATATACCAGCATGAGCATAATCCCAAATGGGAAAACGGAGCGGAAAGGGAAAGTAACCACATTGCTTTCAATGTACCACTTTATACCGATTCTATACGTCTCTTTAACTTTATCATAACGCAATTTTCGAGGAGTTTATCTAAGGAGTTCTTTTATGGTATTCATCTGCGCTATATGGGTATCCCATCTCATTAAACGCTACACTTCCATCTCTCGCTTGAAGCAGTTACATTACCCAACCTCGTGAGCACAGTTCGTCGCAGTTTTTATTGTTTGCACGTGGCTTAACAGCTGGCTAATCTATTTAACCATTGGTCATTCATTTAACAGTTGGTCACGGTCGTTTTTGGACCATTCTATTCGTGACTACTGGAGCTAAAAGATGAAATTGTTAATATATTCGAATACGTAAAATATGAAATGACTTTGATCACGGTAAATTTCTGATTTCATTGCTTAGTTTTCGTCTATCAAAGTAATACGCAGGCGGGATGTCACCCATCTACAATTAGTAATATCACCCATGATTTGTGGTTATTCGCATTGTTTTTATTTAACAGCAAAATTTTGTTATATTTGTGAATAAATGTAAAATTGTTAAATTCATTACAAGGTTTGCACGGGCAGAGTACTTACCTTTTAGTCTTGCTAAATCGCTAAGTTGTACTATATTCCTCCCTGCAGCATCTGAACCCTTATTACCAAACTCACAACCAAATTTATGTAATTGTGAAATGATATATAACCTGATTCTGGCTCAAGAGGTGTAGAGGATAGACGCATTGCCTAGACAAGGAGCTAACGGAGGAGCAGGTGCAAACTATCGTCGTAACACTGGCACGTTCAAAGACATTGAAGGACATTCTGCAAGCAACCATATCTCATATCAGACACATGGACTCATGATAGCCATGTTGAGTGCGATTTTTCATGGCGTAAATTGGTGATGCAGACACGTACATCTACCACTTCGTGTGTGATAACTGTGTTCATTCCTCATAGGCTAAAGGCAAGTATGCAAGCAGGCAGTTTGTATCAGCCAGCGAATTATCGGTACATTACCGGGAGGGCATTCAGATGTGCTATCAACGCTATTGCGCGCAGTTATTGAGTCTGTTCAGTACAACTAGACTTACAATTCGTAAACTTCTTCTCCATTCACAAGGAAAAAATTGTGACTGATAGAATTACTTCACTTCCGAGCTGAAACGACATCGTGACCAACTGAATTAAGAAAATACCTGGAGCCTTTTGATTGACTCTCCGTGTCGAAGCTATGAATAACATACTACGTCTAACAGCAGCTACAGATATTTAAAGTGGATATAACATTATTAGTTGTCGGCAATAAGCTGCTTCGCACTGACCTTATTACGTATATTATGCCGTACTATTACTGTTAAGTTATGCTAAAAAATTAAATGAACATATTTTCATGTTTTTATGATGCGCTTGGAATTGCTGAAGTTGCTTATTATAATAATCTGTCAGCATATCAAAAATTCTATATTATTATTAAATCAAATGTAGGCATTATTTCTAAAGCGAACATCAGTGAGGGATAACGTAATGCTGAGCGAGGCTAATATGTAACTGTTACATATCAGCGACTAATGTGCTCCACATTAAATTGTTGCCTGATTGCGCCGGAATTGCCTGTTATCGATATGCAATATGACATTTCATAAATATATTTTTTATTTTTTTTTTTTTTTTTGTTTTTACCAAAATATTAATAGCTATAGACCCAAACTTTTGGTTTCACGCAAATCTAGCGGACTGATCAGAGATTTGATAACACCTGTGTAATCTCTACACTGGTTTTTTCCCGCGGAAGCCTAGGTACGCATGCGCAACCGATTATCATGCCTACCTGATTCCTATCCATCATATGGCATCATATGACTCCACATTACATATCATGTCTCATAGCGCATCATATGAGAAAGTGCGGCTATATTCATACAACAGTGAACGGCTGAATAGTAATAAACAAGGTGCCAACAGAGGTCGAACAGCCGCCTCAATCTGACCGTTGTATCTGTACCGGCTATTCCTCTCGATAAAACTCACTGCAACCGAATTGAACGTGCGCCCGTCTCGCCCCGCGTTGATTAGGCCTTTGCTATTATCGGTAGTACGGTTAATAAAGATATAGTCTGTGTCGCTTTAATGACTTCGCTATATTATACGTTATCATGGATTTATGCGTCGAGCGCGACGGCGTAGTGTGGCGTGGGGAGGGTGTGGGGCGAGGGGCGGGTGTTAAGGGGGCTCTAATAGCAACACAGTTTTCAGTCCTTTTTTATACAGTCAACAAATCCAATGGTTTAACCTCTCTTGTGGGCTTCAAAAGTGCGTTTATGCATGACACCTTACTCTTCGCGTCAGTAGAAAGCACATTTCATGGTTCTTTCAATAAAGCCATAAATAAAGGTAAGTCAGCCGCTGAACAAAAAGGTTTTTCAATCGCTCCGTCAGACCGATTGTTCTCAGCAATTGTCTAAAATCTGGCCCTATGCCCGCTTGACCTTTGACCTGCTGACCTCCAAATTTCGCACAGTGATGGCTTTTCCTAACCATGATGCTATACACCGACTATCGCTGAGAGGGTCTATGTCCCCCGGGGTACTGCCGGAACGTGTGAACTCCGGGTACTGCCGGTGCGAAATGTTTCCCCTTCTTTTACACTCTTGACGTTGACCCCACAGCTTCGTACATCCGAAAGAAAAAAAAAAAAAACAAAAAAAAACACAAAAACTCGCTTCTCGCAGGATTCCTACCCCCTCGTCCGGAATCTCCGTTTGACCCGGTACGTCGACCGGCTTAAGTTTTGTGCGCCCAATTCTCGTTTCCGCACGCACTAGACGCATCCGGTACGGACCTACGCACGACGCACTAGCTCATGCCGATTCTACAATGCGGCAATCTGACTATGTCTCAGATGAGTCTAACAATTCTATACTAAACTCGTGATATTCTTTGTAAGCTACTGATAAAGTGTATGGAACACTATATTAGGCTAGTTCTACAAAATAAGTTAGGAGATAAACTTTGCAATCAATCGTAACAGTCCGAGTGTTTGTCAAAATCATTAAATATGTGTCGTGTGTGCGTGCGTGCGCGTGTGTGTGCGTGCCTCGTGTCGCTGTGTGGAGGGGGTCCATGCCTCCCCTTTGGCATTGCGGAATACTCTGCTAATTTTCAGTGGCATCTGAATACTCCATAATTTTGGGCTGGCATCTGGAATACTATTTAATCCGCAGGCCAGCACCCGAATAATACATAAGCAAACATAACCAATAGTCCTAATACACATCCCACCCTCCATTATTAACCTTTATTTCATGCACACTAATTTTACTTAGGTGAGCAATAAATACACTTCCATGTCATGCTTGTTAGAGGCAAATTTAAATTGAAGAAAATAGTACAGACTTTATGCCCAGAAGGTCGGCAAATTCTGCTGTTGAATTGTACTCTCTGCCCCTTCCTGTGCTGCTCTGGGTTTGTGATGCTACTATCTGGTAGTACACTATATTTGCGCCTCTTCATCACTGGTAGTACAGATCCTTGCGGATCATTCCGCATCCCCAAGCCAGTCTCGCGGAGTGCGATTTTGGAGCTGAAGTCTGCAACTCCCAAAGGGTGACCCAACTTTTTGAACGCCATACCGCAGGGCGCAATCCAGGGAGGGGGGGATATGGGGACATGTCCCCCACGAATTTTT